AAATTATATAAAATTATGCTATGAATATGCTAGTCGCAGCAGTCATGCAATGCGAGAAATAGCCTTGTCAACCTGTTGCTGGGGTTGGTGCGTGCAACAGGTGTGGATGACGAAATTTTGTTCTTTAATTCCTGAACTGCTACAACAATTTTGCACTCCGCCTGACGGTTTTCTCATGGCTTCGCTGTAGATCATGGAGTTAGAAGTACAGTTTACTCTCTCATGGCTGCGATGCATTTCATAAGCCTTATCTGTGAATTCGATATGTTTCTGAAGTACAAAGGAACAATAGCGCTTTTTATCCTATAGTTCCTCTATCCGTCGAACGAGCATGCGAGACAAAGCAAAGTTGTCATGGAAGGAAGCTCGTCAGGAAGCAGAGACCTGTTCTCTGGTCGTGCCTACGGCAGACGGCGATTCTGTAGAAGAGGTCGTGAAAACGCCAGTTTGGATGACTGCTATTGACGACTCTAACGGAGGTTTGATTATGTCCACCAACAATCTTTCTGAGACTCCTCATCCCCCTCTCGATGCCCACCGGCGATGGGTGGCACAAACCGCCAACTCCTTACCATCAAACGTGCGCTCAAAGCCTTCTAATACCCCACCGAGCAAAAGCATTTCCGTAAGCTCGCTTTGTGGTACCAGTACTACACTGGCAAAATTTGTTTGAACCAACTTCGATCACGACTAGTAATAATTGACTGGTTAACATTTTGGGATTTCCTTTGCATTTGGCAGTCTGTCTTCCATAACACCTTTCACTGTACAAGGGCGATTGCATGATACAATGGAGAGTGATTCGGCAAAAAGGTTTCGTCACGGTTGTTGTGACGTAGAGGGATAGCCAGCTCCTGAGGTTTTTTTGCTTATCACTTTTGTCAACTCATTGAGGAAGCTAATACCTGTGTGCCTGAATTCCTCGGACATTGGGTGCCTAAAACAAGCAGCTGCACATTTATTTGATTGATTCCTTGCTTTTTCACCTCCTCTTAATTCTGCGCACTCCTTGTCATCCATTCTTATGCTGGCTCCTTCAAAGTCCATATCTGAGGGTAGTTTGACATTTGATCTTCTCTACAACAGGCTCTGAAAGAATGTTTCGGCTGCGTTGACGGTGGGTACGAATGAGATACTTTTCCAAATGTGTTCTATTTTCGGAGGGGATGCGTCCATTGATGCTGTTGCTAATTTTACCAGGCTCATATGGATTTTTTGGTATCGGAAGAAGAGGGAATGGGACTTTACAGGTCGTTTAGACTTAAAGAGGATAGGGCTTTGTACTCCGTGTCTATTGAGTCACATGGCTGACGTGTGCTGACCACTTGTCGCCCAGATGGGACCTTTAAACAGACATTACAATCATGTTCGACCGGCAGTGCGTTTTGGATGTGCAATGTAACTTATTATTTGCATTATTAATTGGTGCTATGAATTTGTTGTCGCTGTCTTATGTATAGCTACACGAATCTTCTTGAAAAAGTAGTCTAGCGCTTTTGTTTGCCACAAAATATACAACTTTCAGATCAGCATTGTGTGTTTCGTGACATATTATGGTAAGGTTTAGTTAGGCCTTTTTTCGTCCTATTGGGTGCAAATTTTATGCCATTATCTTACTTTTACCAACTTTTACTTTTACTTCAGTGGTTTTTAATGTAGTAATAAACCGACTGATGTCAACTTCTGTTTTTTGGGGCCAACGCGCACTACATAAGCGCTTGGAATTTCCTTGCTAAGAGCTGCAAACTCTAAATTAAAATGTGGGCATCCGATTTCGGACGGTGATGGAATGCGTATGGGATATCTGCGGAAACCTCACATGTTTAATGCGAGAACTGTGATGAAATTCGCGTTCTCCAGTCTCCTCTATAACCACTTTTCGGTTTCAGGTTTTTTAATCATCAAAGTGCTTTGTACTTCCATAAAAAGTTGAATAGCGGGTGCATTATATATTTTCATGTAAATTTGAAAGTAAATCACTGCAGGAAAATCCCGCAGCATAGCATGCTGGATGGTTTTGGTAGGGTAAAATAGCTAAATTTTCCAGGCTATCTTAACTTCATTTTTTCTTCAAAAATGGAAATCAACAGGCTGTAAGCAGAAGCCTCTTTAGTTCAAACCTGTGGAAGCATGCAGTTAAGCAAGGTAAGTGTCGCAGAGAGTGCTGATTTTACCGGTGGAGCGTAAACTCAAAGGTAATTGGGAATTGGCTTTACTGAGAGGAAAGAAAAAGTGAGATTATTTCCTTGTCCTTTTTCATGACACCCTAAAAGAATTTTCACTTTCGGCACAAGGCCTTTCGGTGCATGGAAATACGCCCAGCCGTAATCTTTTAGCTATTTACTCATTAAATTGAGATTCCAACTTTATTCAACAATTCGAAGGATCTGTTCAAGTAGCGTTGTGGCTTTTGAAGGGAAAAGGAATCGAGATACGTAAGATGATTTACGTCCCATCGAAGGGAAGACCCTTCTCAATTGAATGTATCAGTACCGGAGGGAGGTACCTCATAAACGGAGCTTTAAAAGCATCAGAACTTTTAAAGGGATGCAAACTTTCGAAGGCTTTTCCTTAGCTTTACAAAATGAAGGATCTTGTAACGAGTCACAAATACCTGCTAACAGTTTACAATCATCCGTCTCGCTAGTTGCTGTTATTACCATGTTGCAAATTTCCAACCATAAACAGGGAAGAGGGTGTCATGCTGATCTGGATAGTTAGAACGAATTAGAGGTTCGATTCATGCTAGGTGACTTGAGTAGTACAATTAGTTGTTGATATAAGCTCCCAATGAAAAGCTGCGAAATGATTTTGAATGCACTTAAACTTGATTTGCATTGAAGGATCCTTCTGTCGTTGATGGTCCTCGATTATCCTCACAAAAGACGGATTCGCTCAGTCGAAAGAGACCTATGGAGTCGCCACAGTTGCGTCCACGCCTTACTTCACGGTTAGGCGAGTCGTTTGCACCCAACCGCGATCTTAACGAAGCTCAGCCGACTACCCAAGCGCCATCTCCACCAGCTCATCAACAACCGGCTATGGCTTCAGTGAATGGCATGGGCCAGACGAATGTGCACCTGCATAATGCTTACTACCCTATGGGACCCCAGCAATCGCCAACGACAACCAAGGGCTGGTCGCAAAGGCGTAGACCACCGCACGTTCTCCTCTCCACTGGAGCAAAGCCTGTGGTTAGTACAACTCCTGGTGTTATCGCCTCTCCTCTGCAGCCTGGTGCAAGTCTCACTCGACCACCGCTGAAGCGCGATCTCCTTATCAGCGATTCAAGGAAGGTGGAGGAGAGCGGTTCCAGCAGCAGCGGAAAGTGCTGCGTCCTCATGTAAGGAACACACATGCTGTCGTCCATGCAATCACCAACTTGACTGCTCTCTGTGATTATATCTTTCTCTCTTTCGTTTTACTTTCCTTTTTCTTTCTCAGCAAAACTCATATCACTTTGTTTTCACGCCAGTAGTACATGGTGGAGGACAAGCTGTGGTATGCTTATTTGTACAAATACATCCTGTTTCTTTGATATTCACTTGAATATAAATAAATACATGCATATAGCTTAACCCTTTATTTCTACAACTTGTCTTCCAAACAGTAGGAAACTAGTATGGTTTAACGAAATTCATTCCCTTTGAGGCTCCCACCCCTTGAGAGCACCACTTCTGGCTGTTTTGAATTAGAAACGGTGAAGCAAATGTATGAGGCATGTACGATGTTTTACAACGTAGTTTTAATTTCAAAAACCATGCAACCTTTACTTGTATATTTAAGGAGTTCATTGACCCAACGCAATGGATGGCGAAATCTTACAGTTGTATCCAGGCCTTCACAATGCCCCAAGACGCCTCCTTACAAAAACGGCCTTCTTAACTATATCCTGTGAAGTTACCCTAATCTGATGGAACACATGCAGTAGTCTTGAAAACTGTTTTATGTAGAGAACTAAGGAGTGTAGTTAATTATTCTTACCATGCACCCTAATTTGTGTGGATCGTTTAACAATGCTAACCAAGGCAAGGGGCTTCATTTCATTAGGAAATGCAAAACGCCCTACTAAGCACGCACGAAAGAGAACCCTTACGGCGATAAATTGCGCTATTACTCAATCCTGTATTGCTATTGCTATATTTGCAGATGTTATACTCCACTATCACCATCAATCATGATACGATTGCCGAGTTTTATAGCCAACTAAGGGATGAATAATTATGCAATTAAATCCATATTTGTGCAATCATAGTCAAGGTACTACTAAGTGTACCTAAGTACGCATCAACCTTTATCATACAACTCGTTTGACTTAGTAGATTGAGTATAAGCGCGATTAAACTCGATAAAACTGTAACCCTCTAACTCTGTAATTCCCAGTGTCCAAAACACCAACAGCTATTACCATCGAATTGCCTATTAATTAGTGACTTGTTAATTTTACCAATGATTTATCGTAGGTACGCGAACAATAGCCACCCAACAGAAACGCACTACTACGACTGCGCAGTTTTGTATTCGGAGCGAATTCGAGCCTCAACTCACTTCATCACTGGAACAAAACCGACCCCAGTGAAACCCATGATTCAGTTCAGGAGCAACAAACTTAGCAATGGTTGTGCAAAACCTCAACAGGCTACCGATGGTGCATGTCTTTACCATGTGATTCACAGGAGAGTAATAACATGCTCAAGAAACTCGATCAAAACCGGCTATTGTCAGTCGCCATCTGACAGCTTCAGAGTTGAGTTCGCCCAATATAGTGATAGGCACATCTAC